GCTGGCTGCATGGCTGCTTAAACGTGGGCCAACTTTGTTCATGGACTGAATGGTTTTGATGGCCAGCGTCTGAATAAAGTGTTGGATAAGTGTAAAAAATGAAACCTTGGTCTGTGTGCAGGACAAGTGAAGATCCCAAACACATACTCGCTGCCGAGCATCTCCGTCCTGCACGCAGACAGGAACAACGCTTCCAAAATAAAGTAAATAAAGTGGCTGAGTTTTGTCCCTCTGTGTCGTTTCTCCATCAGTGTGTCAGATCCTGCCGAAGGGTGTGGTCTCTGTGATCGGCCCCGCCTCCAGCCCCGCCTCTGGGTCCACCATCAGTCACATCTGTGGGGAGAAGGAGGTGAGTCACATCTGGATCTGGCGCGTGATCACGATTGTCCCACTGAGGACGGTGACACGAGTTTGATACATACGTCACACCTGAGTGCAGGTAACAGTCACTGTTACCTCCTCAGAGTGAAACATGGTGAGTAACAGTAACAGTTCTTATTTGTTATACATGTTTCTGGGTGAAGATGAGCAAAGTTTCCAAACTTTATTAAACGATGTCATGGACGTCTCTGTGCGGCAGCTGGACAGACTAGAGGACGCCACGCCCTCACTAACAACATCTTTATAACATGATGCAAACAACACATGAATGTTCGGTCCGGTGCCCGCCTCTTATTTCATCTCTGCTCCAATCAGACGTCTTCTTCCTGTCAAAGAAAACTCCCGTGTTCCTGTTGCTATGCAGTTTGCGGTTTCCAGGGCAGCCTCGCTCTGACTGCACATGTGTGTGACTCATGCTCCACGCAAAGACCAAACCTGCAAACTAAAGAGAAAACTCACGTCTAACACCAGCGCTGGAAACATGGAAGTTGGCTGAAGTGGAGCTGACGTCTGTTAATGTTGCAGAGTTTGCTTTAGCCACTCGGGAAATGTTGCAGTTCAGCAAAGGATGAGAAGTTGTCCTGCTCATTTTCTAATTGCTTTAAACGTTTTACTTTGAAGGTTCCAAACAGGAAAAGAGGAGGTTAGAAAAACCACAAAAGATTGAACTTTAACCTTTAACCTGCTAACTGAGGCCTGCAGAGTCCTGGTGTTTGCACAGCGTGATCGTGGGGTGAACACACCTGAACGCTCCAGACCAGCAGACTGCGTACACCTGCAGTTAATCAATCAGCTAATCAATAGACGTGATTAGCAGCTATTCTTTAATGTTCACCCAGGATCGTCTTTTCCACCAAAGAAAAGATCATCCTGACAAACATCCACAGAGGTCAAGGTCAGG